GTGTGTGTGTGTGCGCCTTGTGAATAAAAACGCTGATCCCCTCTATCCACCCCTCCTGTCTCTCTTCACAGAGGTCTTTGAGGAGTTGACAGTTGCCGTGCAGGAGAAAGACTCGCTGGCATCTGAGCTGCACGTGCGTCACATTGCCATCGAACAGCTCTTTAAAAACTGCGCCAAGCTGCCCTGGCTGCACATTAGCAGGGCCGGGGTCAAGGCCAGCAGCAGCAGCAGCACTGTGGAGTGAGGTGCTGGGAGGCGGCTTTTGATTGGCCGCTGGGAGGAAACAGACGAACACTTGAGACTGCAGAATGCAGAACGTGTAACCTGGAGGACACTAGAGCACCGTTAAGGGCTGGACTGACGTGGTGTTTGTTTTCATGGTTGGAGTGATGATGCGAGGTTTAAAGGTGGTTTGCAAACACGTTTCTGCTCTGAATTCCAGCCGAACCGAGTTCACATGAGATGTTAGCAGCAGGTAAACAGCAGCACATTCCTGGGACAGGACGAGGCTGTTTTTAATGGACAAGATCACGTTTTTAATTTCATATATGTTATTATTTTCAAAGACTGAAAAACGGTTTTAAAAATGTTCCAAACACATTTGTTATCATCATCCTTTTGTTTTAGTTTTCTGACACATTTTCCTTTCTTTTGTTTTGGATTCTGAGAGTTTGATTCTGTTTTTTGTTTGTTTGTTTTTTTTGGATGATTTCAAATGAACAGTGACCGTCCCAATCATGCTATAAGCCACTGCCAGCAGTTTGATTATTAATGTCATGGAAAGCCCCAACAAGTTAGCATCTACTGACAGTATTATGGGTTGAAATGTCTATTGTAAAGTTGACTACAGATTTTGACAAGACTACGACCGTAACTGGCAAAGTTTCAAATAGTTATACGTGTCACTACAAGCAGTGGCAAGTACTTATCTGTGTCTGCTTGCCACACTTATTCTAAATAAGACATTATGAAAAATGGTTACGGTTACAGAGTATCTGAAATCCTAAAGGTGAAAACTTTTGATTGAATTCAGCTTCTGGGTTTATTGTGCTGACAGGATTTGCTCACTGTATAATACAAAGCTGTCTTTTTTGTTTTTTAACCATTGTGTATGAGAGGCTATGCACTGAATGGAAGTGAACCGGCTGCCAAACCAAAGTTTCTATTTGTTCTGTTTTGTGTGTGAATTACAAACGTTTGATTTTTGAACAGCTTTCGAAACAATTCGTTCCTGTGTGTATTCAGCGTATGTGTTCTTATTTATCTTCACTGTTACCTTGGCTTGCCCTCTCTCATGTGTTAAAGAGCTAAGTTGATGTCATAGCAACACATATGGGATAGTCTGCTGTACTCTCTCTGCAGGTCCCTGAACAAGTCAACGAGAGATGTGGAGACAGTTTTTGAGTTAGTATGTTCTTCAGGACCCTATGCAAAGAAAGAGACAAATAAATGAGAAGCCTTATAAATATGAAATATATATTGATTATAGGTGTTTCAGGGCTCTCAGAGCTACTCAAAATATAATAAGCTGGGAAAGGACAAGGTTAGAGTGATGTTTAGAAAAACTCAGCATTGTAAGTGTCGTGCGTTCTCTTTGTAAGAGATTAAATGTGTTTAGCCCATTTTGGGGTTTAAAAGACTTCATTTAAATTGTAGTCTTGGTTTTAGTTGGATACCTGTGTTCAGCGCTTGAGAGAGTGAATATTTAGATTCCTAGTCCTAAAGCTCAGTCCTTAAGTCTTTGGTTTTTGGGGTTTTTTGTTACGTGTGTTTTGCTTCTGAATGCTGTGTGTTTTTGCGTGCTATGGAAACATGCCTGAGCTCGTGCCCCTGCTCAGCAGGAAACTCTAGCTGCCTGATTTTGATCTCTCGTTCTTTTTTTTTTGGTGGTTTTATGATCTTCTACTGTTACCATACCTGTTATACTTCCACTCTCTTTATTTAGACTGGACTGTTGATTTGTTCTCTGATTTTGAACATTTCTGCATTTGTGGTATTTTTGTGATTTTTGTCTTTTATTTATTGTGTGCATTTTGTGCTTAAGTGACCATTTGTATATTTTGTTTTTGCAAAATAAAATAAAAACTATTTTTATTACATGCTAGAACATGGTATTGTTTTCTTCATTGTAGCCACTGCAGCATGGACAAAGAAAAGTTATGGCTGGGCTGATGATGGCTAGAGACTAATATATACACATAAGCTCTTAATGGCATTGGGTGAGAGATGAAGATGGATTTCCTCTGTTACTTAAAATGTAAGTGATTCAGTCAAATAAGGAATGCTAACTTCGTTTTTCATTTATTTGATTAGATCATTTATTTTGAGCATATGCATACAGATATATACACAGGAAGGAAAATAGTGTCCAGTAGTACAACAGGTGCTCAAAGTCGTGGGAAGAAGTAACACTTGTGTAGTCCCTTCACTCATTCATATGGTTGTGCAGCTGCTTCCTGAGTATATTTAATACATGGTTGAACAATAACTTGTCACATTGGAAATATCTATATTGAAAACGCATCTTGTATACAGGAATATAGGATATAAATGCATTGAGAGAACTGGAAACCATTGTTCCCACTGAACAGCGACCACAAGACATTCTAGGTGATATTGATCCAGACAGCAGCTTTTTCAATCATATCAAGACTATTTTTATTTGTTGCCAGGATAAGCAACTAAATGAAATTACAAATACAGATCAGATGTTGTTAATAAGTCATACTAATAGCAGAAGTCTTTATGCCATTTTTAAAACACAATGCACAGTTTAACCTTGTTTCCATAAATCACAAAACCCACAAGAATAACTTCTTACTGTGCAACATTTTATTTTATTTTATTTTACATAACCAGTTCAGTTGTCTTATTTCAAATTTTAGTGAGCTGAGCAAAAATTACAAATACTCCTATGTGAAGCAGTCAGGGCAAATGTGGCTGTCCTGTATATATATCAACATGCTGGAGGACAGTTAATAGCATGGGCGTGCACACGTCTGCATGCGATGTACAGTTTGAGAATATTGAAGTGAAATGTTCATTTATTTTATTTTGTGTTATTTTATAACACTCTGGGAATCAAATTTTTAGAAACTGCCATGCCACCAAAAGCACCTTTGGATTTGAAGCTGATGAATGCATAGACAACGTGAGACAAAGTGCTGGTTCCAGTCTGGGTTCTGTAGAGGTTTAGCGCACTCAAGTGGCGAATGGGCGTATTACGTCAAGCAATACCGCTAAAAAGGGTTATTTCCAGGAAATGAATGCGACAATCACTGACTCAGCGTTGTGTTAAAAAGTAAATTTAAAAACAAACAAACCCCAGAACTTCAAACTTTTAAAGTCTTTAAAAAATAAAAACTATCAAATTGTTATTGTTACTCATTATCACACTCATTATCACACATACATAGTTGGTGTATCATAAACTGCAGCTTTTACTAACTTTAATAGCTTCCCATGGGAACCCGCAGTTAAACTATAAATCTATATATAAAAATCTTTTTCTTCTGAGCCACACGAAGAACTACTTTCTCTTTCTTCAGTGTTAAGATGAAATTACATCAGAGGATGTAACCACAGTAATAATAAGCAACAAACACATACCTCACCATGAGTCATAACAATCACGAGAATGACTCATTATGTAAGACGGGCATACACTCGACCAATGAACGCGCTATATTGAGTTGGATGGAACCAATAAAAACTACCCGTGGGCGGGGATTGGGTTGTAAAGGGCGGAGTTAATAACAAAAACTGACGGGTTCTTCTGTCGCTTCCTCCTGTTAAGCATCCGTTTCAGTCCGCATGTTGGTGCAGACCACAAGGAGAGGTTAGTGAAATGTTTTACATATTTATTCCATATTCGAACATATTAATATCAGCGTTTTTTAGGATACAAATATATTTTTTGTAGGATACAAATATATTTTTTGAGTTCGTTGATTTCATCGCCAAATTTATAATGCTGTTGTTAGCAGCATGAGCACGTTAGCCTAGCTAATGCTAACAGGTCCACAACATCTTGAAGGAATAATACCCTTACGTTTTTATTAACAGGCTGTAATTACCAGTGGGGATATAGTTATCATAACGATAACTTAAACCTTAGCTGAAGTTAACTTAAACGCTACTTGGGCCTTGTCGTGTTCCGTTTCCCTAAATAGCGCTTTTAGAACAGCAGCTCGTGTTATGGAACGAGGCAAGTGCGTGGCTAAAGGGAACCTCTGCGTCACAGCCCGCCTTTCTCTGGTTCGAACCGTTAACCGAAGGCAGCAGGTCATAAACAAAAGAACTCTGCGTTAATATTATTATTATTAATATTATTATTCGGTGTTGTGTCCACATTTTAAACTAAAGATGTTTCCTACAACAGCAGGTGTTGCCATGTGAACACAGGCGTATTGTTGATAGGAGGGAGTTTTGGATGTACAGAATATAAAATAGTGCAGTGATAGACTGCAAAATGGAATTTGTCAGGAAACTTGTTTTTTTACAATTTGGGCATCAGAAAACATTTTGTAGGTAGGATCTACACCTGTATATCTATTTTGTTTTTTGTTTTACATGATCTGTCGCATGCCTTTCATTACAGAAGCTGTCCATACGTGATGAAACACTTGTAAAATATGAGGAGAGAGATTGCAGCTGTGGTGTTCTTTCTGAAGAGGCTTGTGAAAAAGGGGGAGAAGCTGGAAGCGGAGAAGGTCGAGCTGTTTGTTGAGAGGCTGGCTGTGGCACTGCAGGAGAAGTTTAAGGGCCACTGGTATCCTGAAAACCCCAGCAAGGGACAAGCATACAGGTGGGGCTGCTCTGGGACGCAAATGAGTAAAACTCGGATTGTTCTGGTGGCACGTTTAAGCTGAAGGCAGTTTATGTTGTGTGTGTGCTTTGAAGGTGCATCCGAGTGAACAGGTTTCACAAGCAGGATCCGGAGCTCCTTCGGGCCTGTCGTGAGAGTGGTATCCAGTACAGTGACCTGGGACTGCCTCGTGAACTCACATTGTGGGTGGACCCTGGGGAGGTTTGTTGCAGGTGAGATTAAGAGTTTGTAAACGTTTGTAAATCTTGTACACTTAAATGTGCTTCAGTTGATTGCTTTCTCATTAATCTAAACACGGTATCAATAATTAAGGCAAACTGGTTTTTAACGTGAGATAACCCATTCATGTTAATATTCCTCACATGCTTCATGCGCAGTGGTGAAAGAGGCTGTAAATACAGTTTCATTAACCCCAAGGCTTTCCTGTAATTTCAAATGAGACTACTGGCAACAAGAAAACACTATCTTTATGAAACAGCAGTTAAACATTTTGTTGAAACTTGGATATAAACTGGTGGCTTTGTTTAATT